TTTTTTTTTTTTTTTTTTTATTACCGTTGTAAATACAACGAGTAAATTAGCTAAAAAACATTATGATATTATGTTACGGGCATATTGGCCGGAATCGCGAAAACCTCGGAAATGTCCGGGTGAAACGCGAAGCGCCCGGCTTTTCAGCGGCCATTTTAGTGAAACCGTATCGTTCGTAAAATATTAAACTTTTCACATTCGTAGGCGTTCGTACCGTGGTTTATTTTTTGATTTTATATCACCTACGCGTGAATAACGATAATATAATTATTTTTGTTTTATAATACGCAATTGAAAATGATTAAATATGAGAATTAAAACAGTCAGTAACTATACGTTTGATTATAAAAATCTGTCTAAGGTTAATGGGAAGGGTGCAACCACTGTTTTAGGTGAGAAGTTGGGAAGGTAGGATATAGACGGAAATTTAATATATATCTGTACGCAATGATTAACCATTGTTAACGAAAATACAATTCTGAGCGGAGTTCGGTTGATAACACTGTTGATTTGTCAACAATATATGTATGTCATATTATGGTAAAATATGGTAAATATTATGGTAAATTACATGTGTGATAAACATTTTTCTTTAATAATATTTGTTTAATATTGTACCTATTTTCTCGATTTTCTTACACTTTTTCCCGGTTTTCCGCATTTATTTGGAAAACTCCTAGTAAATTCAAAATATGACCTCCTTAGAGTATCTCTGATTTCCTTTCAGAAAAAGTGTTATCATTGTAGGTCGGAGCCAAAATGCTGGAAAATAATTGAAAAATTGCCGGGAGAAAAGTTGTTCACAGAAAAACAGATGTCCTAGGATAATGGGGACGAGTGCAGTCACTGTTATAGGTAATTTAAAGTATACCTGTAAGCAACAAAATAAACCATTGCTTACAATAAAACGATTCTGAGCGGAATTCAGTTGATAGTGATACTTTGTCGACAATATATATGCCATAATAACCGTTGTTTCAACAATTTAATACTAAAAAGCTGTTTTAGCATAATGGGAACGGATACAGTCAATATTGTAGGGGGATAGTTGGAAAGGTGGGATGCAGACGGAAATTCAATGTATATCTGTAAGCAACGGTAAACCATTGCTAACGAAAAAACGATTCTAAGCGGAGTTAAGTTGATAGCGATGCAATGATAATTTGTCAACAATATACATGTATGTCATATAATGGTATAATAATTAAATAGGTTCTATATATTTTCTTTAATACAATTTGTTTAACATTGTACTGATTTCCCCAGTTTTTCACACTTTTTGAGAAAACTCCGGGGAAAATGGAAAACGACCTTTTTAAAATACCTCTAGAGTGAAATTTCCTTTCAGAAATATTGCTACTAATACAAATTGGAGGAAAATTACTGGTATGAAAGTTATCCGCAGGAAAAAACAATCGTAATATTATATTTATTATGTTTCCTAAATTTTCCCATTTTTTTTCCGGTTTTTCACGTTTGATGATAAAACTATTGAGAAAATCGAAAAATTACCTCTTTAACGTACCTCACCTCACCACGCCGATTTCCTTTCAGAAAAGTTGCTTCACGTAAACATCCGAGCAAGTCCTCTGGTAGAAAAGTTGTCCACAGAAAAAAAAAATAAACATCTTTGTAAAACCATAAGCTTCTTCGTTCCACTCAGAATCTAAAATAAACATTGTAAAACCAATAAATTCCTCGCTACACTCAGAAAATAAAATACTATAAAATATAATTGTTTGTTTGTTGATAATATTAAATATTATTATATTACAATATAATAGCTGTTCCTAGAAATAATATGTTATCTGTAAAAAATTTAAATTTATGATCGCTACGTTTTTACTTAAACAAGCCTAGGCGAAAACCGAAATATGACGTTTTTGCTCAAGTATCGCGGGTACTTTGTGTTTTTCTCGTGCATTTTTAAGGTTTTTTAAAATATCATTATTTATCCAAAGAGCATAACTTTTCTACCAGCAATTTCGCTCCGACTTTTAATGATAGCATTGTTTCTAAAAGGAAATTTTACTGGAGAGGTCATTTTTCGGTTTTCTCAGAAGTTTTCCCAGCAAATGTGAAAAACCGGGAAAAACGTAGGGAAACTGAGAAAATCGGTACAACATTAAACAAATATTATTAAAGAAAATACATAAAGCCTACTTAATTATTTTACTATAAAAAGACATATGTATTGTTGACAAAGCATCACCATCAACTAAACTGCGCTCAGAATCGTTTTCTCGTATGTAATGGTTTATCGTTACTCACAAGCATACATTTAATTACCTATAACAGTGGCTGCACCCGTCCCCATTATCCTAGGATAGCTTTTTAAATACATTTTATCTTGAAATTTTCAATTTCCGTCAACCTAATGACGAGACATTCCTCTTTTAATTTTGGGCGGCGAGAGAGTAAGGGAACACTGCTCTCTCGCTGAACAAATTCCCAACGGAAATCGAAAATGTAAAACGTATAAAACACCAAAATGTGTATTTAAACTAAAGCTTCATCAGCTACGACGTTTTTAATTCTAATTTTAAAACCGCTATTTAAAAATCAAATTTGGGTTTTCGAATCCCAAAAATGGTTATGTAACATTTTAGAGGTGCTTAGCGGACGTGATATCGCGCCGTCTCCGTCTTGCGAACGGACGACGTAGCAAATTTGCGTTCAGCAGAGACAATTGCGTGCGCTGCAATAGTATTAATTTTAAAGTGAATTGAACATAAAAATATAAAAACGTTATCTGTAAAGTGTGATATTATTTATTTTTCAAGCGATATAATACAATCGTTTTTAAATTGTGATATCTCACATGCTCATATCTCATAAAAATATCGAACAAATAGCGCCAACGTTGCAATGCGGAATCACAGATAATGTTCTAGCTCTAAGATCGATAATAGGTCAATTCACTCTGATAACAAAACTAACCCAGCCAACTCGCGCCTTTCCAATCGTAATGCCTACTTCAGATAATTACTGAGATTAATCCAGTAATATTTAGATTGCATTCTTGAAGCGTTGTTCTCTCGGTCTCCGCTGACGTTAAATGTAATAACTGC